ACACCGTGCAGTTCGGAAAGGCGCATGAAGAAACAGACAAGTGTAACAATTGGAATCTGGAAACATGAGGACAGACAAGAGTCGGGGCGGGCCTTGAACCAGATCACCGCGTCCGAAGACCCACTTCATGTCCGAGATGGTATTTAGCAGCACCTCCCACTGCACGATGCGAGTTCGACTTTCACAACCTGGACAATATCGGCGAGGAGGCATCTGGCAAAATTCCCTTTTCATCTCCGGAGCCAAACTACTACCACCGGCTACTTAAACATTTGTTCAGACCTGCTTCCATGCCCGGAGCCTTTCCGGTATCAAAATTGACCCGAGAAATCACAGGAACAAGAACTCACTTCAGAACTTGGCAGGGCTTATATCGGATGTGCGATACGGTTGATGGAAACAGGTACCAGCTTTGCAGGGGACAGCAACCCGTGCACGCCGCTGGCCGCAAACTCTTGGGTCGGTTGACTAAAAGTCAAGTAGCTTCAGCTTGGGCCGCGTCTAAACTAAACTTCTCGTGAAGATACGAATAAACAGAGTCCTTACGGACAAGTGTTGCGGAGATATGAGCACCACGACAACACAGAGTCCTTCCAGTGACTCAAACATGCCAAAACTATCCACAACGTGTGAATTCTGGCCGAACAGAGCGCTGCCCGTAAACCTTGTACAGCTTCATACCGTGTCGATGTAGATTTCATGAATCTCCTCTGTATCACACTCACAGACCGGCCGGAGAGCATGAGACTGCGGCCGAGTGTGGGCGTCATCTCTGCTAGTGTGATCCTCGTCTCCCCGTATCCACTGACCCACGATCTCGTTCTCGACACTCGGGCTGCAACACAGAACCATAGTCGCGCCAGTCCCGTAGAGAAGAGCCATGTAGAGGGGCTTCAGCAGAAGATCTTGTAACAGACTTATCCCTGTGCTTTCCAGCCACTTCGAAGCATCCTTTTCACTCACGTTTGCAAGGAAGCCAAATATGTACAGAATCGACACGCCGATGTCCAAAAACCAAAGCAACCAAAAGAAACAGCGTCGACAACGCCAGCTTCGTAGCTGTCGCTTCTTCGTTTCCTCGGTCCAGTGCCGGACTATGACCTGGCGCCACTGGACGGCAGCCAGCAGCAGGATCAGCAGGTCACCCATGCAAGCGGAGAGTATGCCCACAACGCCGGCTCGAAGCAGACGTTCCCCAAAGGTTTCTGGAGGCCCGCAATCTCTCTGTGAGTCAGCGGACACGGCGGAGGCCGCGAAAAAAAGCGCGTTGGCTGCCCCCGTGGACACCAATTTCAGAGTGATCAGCGAGGCACGGACCACATGGGACCTAAATAAGCTGACATACTGCATAGTGATCCAGGGATGCATAGCCCGCATCAGCAGGACCACACGCTTGCACCAGAAGCTTCGTAGGAATTCTCTCACAGCAGATGCTTTACTTGTTTCTTTTGTTGTTGCCATGTCCATTCGAACAAAGTCCACAACCGTCACCGACGCGCCGGCTATGTTGGAAGGTCGCATGCGCGCGTGACCAACTGCCGTCTCAGATGCTCGGATACTTTGTCGATCGGCATGACTCTTGTAGGCATAGATGGAGCTGATGCAACGATTGATCGTAACCACTTTGGCATTCATCAGCTCTTTTAACATGTTTGCATCTGGCATTTCGAAGATCTGGCTCAGGAACCACATGAACCGCGAGAGCATCCATGCAGCTGCCCGCTGGCAAATGTTAGGGCGATGCGCTTGCTTCACTTCTGGTTCCTGATCGTCACTGTCGTCGAGCTCGTGAGGAGTGTCCTCCTCGAGCTCCACGAGCAAAGCTGCCTCCACTTCCTCCCTTGAGAGCGCTCGCCTTGCGTCAAGGCGCAGGGCATACAACAACAGAAGGACGAACACGAAGACAGCGATGAAGGCAATGACGGTGGGAGACCGGCCAGTCCACTTGCCTTTGCCGAAGTTGGCGAAGCCCTCTGCAGACAGGACTTGGGAGGCGGTGGAGCACCGGATCACCTGGAGCAGGACATCGAGCACTGCCCCAAACACAGTGAGGTGGGATGTCTGGCAGATCAGCTCACCGTCTTCATGGGCGAGCCGGAGCAAGCCCTTCGACGACCAGGCGGATGTCTCCTCGTCCCAGAAGGCACACTCAGCCTCTTCGCTGGCCCCGGGCAGCCGAATTTCGATGGGCTGCACCAACGATGGCATCGGGATCCTCTGTCCGTCGGGCTTGCGGAAAGCAATGCTGACAGGCCGGGAGACCAAACTTGGCCCATCCCCAACTACGCCTCCGCCCTCGGCTGCCTCGTTGGTGCCATCGAACCCGCCACGTAGCTCTGAGGAGCCGACCGAGATGCTTAACAGCACCAGGCCACTTCCGCCAACGCTGGCCGCAGCCTGGGTAACGACCCCTGAAGGCACCTCCACCGTGGCATTCTCACTCAGCACAGTGATGTTGTGGCTCTGGCCGAAGATCGCCACGCTATCTAAAGCCAGAGTCTGTGTGGTGGCAAAGTCAGACTGGGTGAGGAGGCTGCCAAGAATACCGCTCGAGTTAGAACTGTTGCCGAGCTGCGCTACCAACTGCCGGGCAACCTCTTCTTCCGAGCGGTCAAGATCGCTCAAAAGCAGATCCACGCTGCTGGCCATCGAAGCCGACGTGTCTGTGGCAGTGGTAGATGACATCGCAGTCGAAGTTTCTATGGGAGTGCCTGACGTCAACGCAAAAGTTGTCGACGTGCCCGTGGTGATCATTGTCGAGGACCTTGATGTGAGTGCTTCGGTTCTGGAGGTCTCGGTGTATGTGGTGCTCCTCGAACGGGTCGAGGACGTAGTCCCCGACGAGGAAGTCGTGCTGGCGTAGGAACTTGACGTTGTTGCTGTGGACGAGGTTGACGTCACAGGTTTTGTACTTGACCTGGTTGATGTCACAGATGCTGTAATTGATTTGGTTGTTGTGGATGAAGTTGACGTCACAGATGTTGTAGATGACCTGGCTGATGTTGTGGTTGCTGTGGATGAAGTTGACGTCACAGATGTTGTGGTTGACCTGGTTGTTGTGGACGAAGATGTCACAAGTGTTGAAGTTGACCTGGTTGATGTGGATGTTGTTAAAGTGGCGGTCGTCGATGTTGCAAAGGAGAATGTTAGCGTTGTGGAAGAGGTTGTCACAGAAGTGGCAACGGTCGAGGTTGTCGTTGAAGTGGAAGACGACGTCACGGACATGGCTGTTGAGGCCGAAGCTGTTGAAGATGTTTGGGTTATTGTCGTCAGCGTGGCGGTAGTGACGGCTGTGGTCCTAGATGTAGTTGTCAAACTCGTTTCGGCGGCAGATGTGAAAGATGCAGCCGTCGAGGTAGAGGATGTGGAGGTGAATGAAACCGTGCTTCGTGTGGTGGTGGATTGCGTGGTGGACGTGCTGGAAGCACTTGTTGTCGTCGTTCCGCTGGCCATCACTGTGGTGCTGGCCATGGCCGTATGAGATGCATCGAACTTCCACAGCGAACCCAACAGGCCATGCTGCTGATTTCCATCGCCGTAGCCTCCGAAGGCGTAGAGACGCCCGTTCACGGGGTCCCAGGCTGCCGCGCCTCGGTCTTGCGCAGGAGGGCCTGTCTCAGTGAACTCGCTCCAGCTGTTGGTGCTTGCGGAATACAAGAACAGGGAGTTCAGCCTCGAGCCGCCCGAACCAGCGAAGCCCATCAAGGCCCCAGCCTGAGGATCCCAGACTGCGGAGGCGTAGCTCCGTGCCGTGATGCTGCCTGATGGAGCAAGCTGGCTCCAGGCGCCATTGTAGCTCCACAGATCGCCGAGGGTTGTCCCAGAGGAAGCTCCGCAACACATCAGCATGCTGCCGGCAGCAGGATCCCAAACGGCCACGTGGCCGTCGCGCGCTGCCGGGCCCACAGCCACAGGGCTGGACCAGCTATCTGTGGTACGGTCGTACTCCACGAGGCTACCCAGTTTGTTCACATTATTGTCCAAGCCCCCGAACACGATCATCCGACCGCTGGTGCCGTCCCACACCGCCGTGTGGCTTGACCGCCCAGAAGTGCCGGTAAGCTCAGTCCAGGAGTCGAGTTGCACGTCATAGCGGTGGAGATCGTCAAAGTTAAAGGAGGTGCCACCGGAGGCGTGACTGGTACCTGCAAAGATGTACATGGTTCTTGCCGTGGTGTCCAACACCGCAGAATGGCGGTATCTAGCCGCCGGGCCCGAGGCTTTCTGCGTCCAGATGTTTGTGGCTGGGTTGTAGAACTACAGGTCGTCGGACTTGCTGTTGGGAAAAAACTCTCCGCCAAACATCCAGAAGCCTCCGTCGTCTGCGCCGGCATCCCAGACCATGGTGTGTCCACTGTGGGCGGCTGGTGTCCCACTGGGGGACAGCAATGTCCACTCGTTAGCAGATACCAAAGCTGCGAGCTGCACGGCGTAAAGAATGAAATGAAAAAGACTCTTGGAGCATGGATGCTGGAACCATCGGCTCATGCGGAAGGGCGGCGAAGCGCTTCCGAAGGTCGAATATCCGGGACCTAGAAGCACAAAAGCACCTGCCCAGAGGGGAAGCCTGTGTGCAAACATTAGTGGTAATGTGCTTTCTGCTAGTAGCGAGCCTCATGTCCTAGTCCAAAGCTGCAAGCTTGCTATGAATGTCCGACTCCCCGACAGCATCACTCCAAGAAAACAAAACTGATCAGCCAGGTCTTCCCTGCTGCTTGAGCCGGAACCACAGCCGTTCACGTTTTTCCCGAGCCGCCCAGCTGACAGAATCGCACCGCAGCAACCACGGATGTTTCCCAAATCCATGCCTTCGCTCAGCTTGAACTCCCCCTGCACCTGCATCTGGAGGGTCGCCTTCCAAAGCCCATGCTCGAGGCTGTCGGCCCCGGCGTCGCTTCAAACCTGAGCTGCCTGCTGATGTGCTGGACAGGAGAGAACAATGACAACTGAAGCCATCCCGAAGAATCTGAGTTCAGACTTTGACACATCACTCGTGCTTCTCAGTATGGGCCAGGGGCACTAGCCTCTTTCGTGATGCCCGGGAGCGCAAAGTCCGACGCCCTGAACTTCCTTCCTGGGTTTCGGCACTCACATCTCGTCTGAACTTTCACCCTTCTCCCTGTCACAGATGCGACAAAGCGTGCGATCTGTGCAGCTGCGTCGCCAGGCCAATCGCCGCCCCCAAACTCGAAGGAGAATGTCGCGTCGCTGCTGCGGACGTAAAACGGTGCTGGATGAACAATAGACTCAATCAGCCATTTCAGCTCGTTTTGGCCGATTCTAGGAAGACTACAAGCCCGCAACCTATCACCGGATGCAGTTTGCTTGTGATAGACAAGTAATTGTAAGCCGCGACCGTCTCTCATTCTATGATTGGCTGTGAGCACCGAGGCTTTGCGGCTCAGGATTGGACCTGCGATTTGAAACGAGTTTGGCCTCCGCCGAGCAACTTGCTCTTTTTCCCGCCGCAGTGGAGCACTCACGGACTTGGTGGTGCCCGGAACTGTCGGAAAGCCGACTAGCGACTGCGTGCACACTTGGCGATCATCCTTGACGGTCACACCTCGTTGTGGCACGGCAGCTGGAGCTAAAGTTTGCGTGCGTTATGCTCCGTAACTCCTTGGTCACTCTTACTCCGAGATGAGGTGCTTTCTTGATCCACTCTCGTGTAGCACGGGAACGAGGCCCGGAGTACAGGAGCAAGCTGTTAAACCGTGAAAGGACGGAAGGCCGCCGATAAGCCCTCATCGAGGCTCACTTCTTGGCCCGTGCCCATCGCTGGAGAGGGTCTCCACCTCCTGAGCGCTTCCCACTGAAATACACGGTACTGTTGTGGCGGGTCGGGAAGGAAAAAGAAAACCATGTCCCATCCTGCAAACATTCACCCAACTTCAAATGTCAGCAGCTTCAACATGCTAGGAAAGGTTGCTGTAGGCCTTGGAGCTTGCAAGGGATTGTGTTTGCATTGGCAATTTTTATGTCTGGACTGTTTGAGCCCACAGCCCCAGCCCTCATCTCAAGATGCGCCGAACTGGCGCTTAGAGTTCCGGGGAAAAATCGAAACTTCAAATCTGGCGGCCCCTGGGCGTGCCGTCGGCAAATCCGGAAACCAGCTCTTCGCGTCGATCGGATTCAACCTCACTGGAAGCGAGGTTCCCAACTTGCCGCAAACCACTGGACGTACACAAGGGTTAACCTCTCACAACATCATGTGGGGCTTTCGGCTTGTCCCTTTACTTGTTCCTGCTTATGGATGCTTTTTTTCCCTCCTACCTGAAAGCCGAGGCTTGGCGAGTTAGTCCAAAATACACTGAAGTCTCCAGCCTTTGCTTGGGAAGGAGGGCATGCTCTCGTACAGGGCTTGAACATACGCAGCCTCACAGGACTAGAAGCAGTGCTGGTCTCAGCTGCTGCAGCGTGGCCACTGCCCGGATCCGATTCAGCCGCTCAGTAGTAGTTCTAGATTGTGCAGATGCTGCGCTCGGTACAGTACTACCGTGCGGAGTTTAGCTGCTGACAAGATACTTCTCTGCCAGAGGCTTTGGCAAATGTGCTGACCTCTCACAGCTCCTCCCGCGAGAGGTCCAGCCGGACAGCTTCACGGGACTTGAAGCAGTTCTGGCCTCAGCTGCTGCAGGGTGGCCTGCGAGTGCGAGCTGCTGCACAGCGTTTTAGTGCAGCCATGCGGCTCGCAAGATACTTCTCTGCCAGGTTCTTTGGCAAAAGGGCTCTTGCTGCGACGCCTTGAAAAACAATGCTCACCTGCCAGGGTCCAGTCTTTGCATCTGCTTCTGATAGACGATGGAAAACGCCCTAGAAGCAGAGCCCCTTCACAAAAAGGCAGGCGGCAAACAGTCACCACGAATGGCATGCAAAACAAGCCGTCCTGGTGGGCGGTCGAACCCGTCCTCGCGGGATACCATGCGGGCAGCAGCCCTGGATGTTGAAGTTGTGCCGGAGCTGCCCAACCCTGCCGGGTAATTTGCTGAGGAGGAGGCTCTGAAAGCTCACAAGACGCGCCGGATGGAACGAATGATACACTCGCCAGTCCGGCCCGGAGGCAGAAGCCACACATCCTTTAGCCACTTTAACCCCATGGCGGCGAGGGGCGCCTCCTCGCGATCTGCACGAAAGACGAAAGCTTGATTTCCTTGGCACCATGCAACTCGGATTCCCTGTCCCTCTTCGGAAACCACCGATCCACTGCATCCCTCTTCCCGTTGTTCTGTCTTTGCCACCGTCTTCAAGAAGAGTCCCCCTCGCCCTCACCAAGCTTGGTGAATAGAGGCCCAAGGTTTCAACAAGGTCACCGTTTCAAGCTTATCCAACCCATTCCATGCTCCTCAAAACCACAAAGCTGCAAGCCGTCAGGTCATGTCAGGTCCGGCCCCTTTACTAGGCAAATCTTTGGTCTCGGTTCCTCTCAGCGAGCTGACTGCGACTTGCATCCTGACAAAAGCCATTTACATCGCACACGGGACGCATACAGGCTACCTGTGAGCACAAGGGGCTGTCACTGCGGGTCTTGTCTGCAACCAGCAGCATCCAGGTTCCCGTTCGAGTCCAGCAAAGAGTTGATTAGCCTTGCCGAGGCCGCGGATTGGCTTCAGAAGAATGAAACTGCAACTAACTGCAGGCTTCGCCTGCAGCCGGCAGAAATTGCCTTTTTACTTCAAGTCCACCAACTGCTAGAGTTCCTCGCTTGCATGTGCCTTCCACAAAGCTTTGGCCACACAAACGGTCGACAACAGGACATGAGAGATAACCGGCCACTGTGAACCCTCAGGGTCAGGAAAGGTGCATCCATTTCTTGTCGATGCTACTAGTAAGGGAGTCCAGGGGACAATGAGCGCAAAACATTGTCGAGCTAGGGAGGCAATGCCGCGGAGTTGCGAAAGGCGCATCAAGAAACAGACAAGAAGGACAGGCAAGAGCCTGGCAAGAGTCGGGGCGGGCCTTGAACCAGACCACCGCGTCCGAAGACCAACTTCACAGCCGAGACTGCATTTAGCGGCACCTCCCACTGCATCTGCTGATGCGAGTTCGACTTTCACAACCTGGACAATCCCGGCGAGGAGGCAAAAATCCCTTTTCATCTCCGGAGCCAAACTACCACCGGCTATTTAAACATTTGTTCAGACCTGCTTCCATGCCCGGAGCCTTTCCGATATCAAAATTGACCCGAGAAATCACAGGAACAAGAACTCACTTCAGAACTTGGCAGGGCTTATATCGGGTGTACGATACGGTTGATGGAAACAGGTACCACGTGTGCAGGGGACGGCAACCCGTGCACGCCGCTGGCCGCAAACTCTTGGGTCGGTTGACTAAAAGTCAAGTAGCTTAAGCTTGGGCCGCGGCTAAACTTCTCGTGAAGCTACGAATTAACAGAGTCCTTACGGACAAGTGTTGCGGAGATATGAGCACCACGACAACACAGAGTCCTTCCAGTGACTCAAACATGCCAAAACTATCCACAACCTGTGAATTCTGGCCGAACAGAGCGCAAACCCTGTACAGCTTCATACCGTGTCGATGTAGATTTCATGAATCTCGTCTGTATCACACTCACAGACCGGCCGGAGAGCATGAGACTCCGGCCGAGTCTGGGCGTCGTCTCTGCTAGCGTCGTCCTCGTCTCCCTGTATCCACTGACCCACGATCTCGTTCTCTACACTCGGGCTGCAACACAGAACCATAGTTGCGACAGTTCCGTAGAGAAGAGCCATGTAGAGGGGCTTCAGCAGAAGATCTTGTAACAGACTTATCCCTGTGCTTTCCAGCCACTTCGAAGCATCCTTTTCACTCACGTTTGCAAGGAAGCCAAATATATACAGAATCGACATGCCCGTGTCCAAAGTCCAGAGCAACCAAAAGAAACAGCGTCGACAACGCCAGCTCCGTAGCTGTCGCTCCTTCGTTTCCTCGGTCCAGTGCCGGACTATGACCTGGCGCCACTGGACGGCAGCCAGCAGCAGGATCAGCAGGTCACCCATGCAAGCGGAGAGTATGCCAACAACGCCAGCGCGAAGCAGACGTTCCCCAAAGGTTTCCGGAGGACCGCAGTCTTTCTCCGAGTCAGCGGACACGGCGGAGGCCGCGAAAAAAAGCGCGTTGGCTGCCCCCGTGGACACCAATTTCAGAGTGATCAGTGAGGCACGGACCACATGGGACCTAAATAAGCTGACATACTGCATAGTGATCCAGGGATGCATAGCCCGCATCAGCAGGACCACGCGCTTGCACCAGTAGCTTTGTAGGAATTCCTTCACAGCAGATGTTTTACTGTTTTCTTTGGTTGTTGCCATGTCCATCCGAACAAAGTCTACAACCGTCACCGAGACGCCGGCTACGTTGGAAGGTCGCATGCGCGCGTGACCAACTGCCGTCTCAGATGCTCTGATACTTTGTCGATCGGCATGACTCTTGTAGGCATAAATGGAGCTGATGCAACGATTGATCGTAACCACTTTGGCATTCATCAGCTCTTCTAACATGTTTGCATCTGGCATTTCGAAGATCTGGCTCAGGAACCACATGAACCGCGAGAGCATCCATGCCGCTGCCCGCTGGCAAATGTTAGGACGATGCGCTTGCTTCACTTCTGGTTCCTGATCGTCACTGTCGTCGAACTCGTGAGGAGTGTCCTCCTCGAGCTCAACAAGCAAAGCTGCCTCCACTTCCTCCCTTGAGAGCGCTCGCTTTGCGTCAAGGCGCAGGGCATACAACAACAGAAGGACGAACACGAAGACAGCGATGAAGGCAATGACGGTGGGCGATCGGCCAGTCCACGTGCCTTTGCCGAAGTTGGCGAAGCCCTCCGCAGACAGGACTTGGGAGGCGGTGGAGCACCGGATCACCTGGAGCAGGACATCGAGCACTGCCCCAAACACAGTGAGGTGGGATGTCTGGCAGATTAGCTCACCGTCTTCATGGGCGAGCCGGAGCAAGCCCTTCGACGACCAGGCGGATGTCTCCTCGTCCCAGAAGGCACACTGAGCCTCTTCGCTGGCCCCGGGCAGCCGAATTTCGATGGGCTGCGCCAACGATGGCATCGGGATCCTCTGTCCGTCGGGCTTGCGGAAGGCAATGCTGACAGGCCGGGACCCGGAGACCAAACTTGGCCCATCCCCAGCTACGCCTCCGCCCTGGGCTGCCTCGTTGGTGCCATCGAACCCGCCACGTAGCTCTGAGGAGCCGACCGAGATGCTTAACAGCACCAAGCCACTTCCGCCAACGCTGGCCGCAGCCTGGGCAACGACCTCTGAAGGCACGTCCACCGTGGCATTCTCACTCAGCACCGTGATGTTGCGGCTCTGGCCGAAGATCGTCACGCTATCCAAAGCCAGAGTCTGTGTGGTCGCCAAGTCAGACTGGGTGAGGAGGCTGCCAAGAATACCGCTCGAGTTGGAACTGTTGCCGAGCTGCGCTACCAACTGCCTGGCAACCTCTTCTTCCGAGCGGTCAAGATCGGTCAAAAGCAGATCCACACTGCTGGCCATCGAAGTTGATGTGTCTGTGGCAGTGGTAGATGACATCGAAGTCGAAGTTTCTATCGGAGTGCCTGACGTCAACGCAAAAGTTGTCGACGTGCCCGTGGTGATCGTTGTCGAGGACCTTGATGTGAGTGCTTCGGTTCTGGGGGTCTCGGTGTATGTGGTGCTCCTCGAGCGAGTGGAGGATGTAGTCTCCGACGAGGAAGTCGTGCTGGCATAGGAACTTGACGTTGTTGCTGTGGACGAGGTTGACGTCACAGATTTTGTACTTGACCTGGTTGATGTCACAGATGTTGCAATTGATTTGGATGTTGTGGATGAAGTTGACGTCACAGATGTCGTAGATGACTTGGCTGTTGTGGACGAAGACGTCACAAATGTTGAAGTTGACCTGGTTGATGTGGATGTTGTTACAGTGGCTGTCGTCGATGTTGTAAAGGAGAATGTTAACGTTGTGGAAGAGGTTGTCACGGAAGTGGCAACAGTCGAGGTTGTGGTTGATGAAACCGTGCTTCGTGTGGTGGTGAATTGCGTCGTGGACGTGCTGGAAGCACTTGCTGTCGTCGTTCCGCTGGCCGTCACTGTGGTGCTGGCCATGGCTGTATGAGATGCATCGAACCTCCACAGCGAACCCAACAGGCTAGGCCATATCAATCCATCCTTGTAGCCTCCGAAGGCGTAGAGACGCCCGTTCACGGGGTCCCAGGCTGCCGCGCCTCTGTCTTGCGCAGGGGGGCCTGTCTCAGTGAACTCGCTCCAGCTGTTGGCGCTTGCGGAATACAAGAACAGGGAGTTCAGCCTCGAGCCGCCCGAACCAGCGAAGCCCAGCAAGGCCCCAGCCTGAGGATCCCAGACTGCGGAGGCGTAGCTCCGTGCCGTGATGCTGCCTGATGGAGCAAGCTGGCTCCAGGCGCCATTGTAGCTCCACAGATCGCCGAGGGTTGTCCCAGAGGAAGCTCCGCAACACATCAGCATGCTGCCGGCAGCAGGATCCCAAACGGCCACGTGGCCGTCGCGCGCTGCCGGGCCCACAGCCACAGGGCTGGACCAGCTATCTGTGGCCCGGTCGTACTCCGCGAGGCTACCCAGCTTGTTCAGCATATTGTCCGAGCCCCCGAACACGATCATCCGATCGCTAGTGCCGTCCCACACCGCCGTGTGGCTTGACCGCCCAGCAGTGCCGGTAAGCTCCGTCCACGAGTCGAGTTGCACGTCATAGCGGTGGAGATCGTTGAAGGTGTTGCCAGCAGAAGCCAGGTTCGTACCTGCAAAGATGTACATGGTTCTTGCTGTGGGGTCCAACACTGCAGAATGGCGGTATCTGGCTGCGGGGCCCGAGGCTTTCTGCGTCCAGAGGTTTGTAGCTGGGTTGTAGAAGTACAGGTGGTTGGACTTGATGGTGAGAAACAACTCCCCACCAAACATCCAGAAGCCTCCGTCGTCTGCACCGGGATCCCAGACCATGGTGTGTCCACTGCGGGCGGCTGGTGTCCCACTGGGGGAAAGCAATGTCCACTCGTTCGCAGATACCAAAGCTGCGAGCTGCAAGGCGCAAAGAATGAAATGAAAAGGGCTCTTGGAGCAAGAGTGCTGGAACCATCGGCTCATGGGGAAGGGCGGCGAAGCGCTTCCGAAGGTCGAAGATCCGGGACCTAGAAACACAAAAGCACCTGCCCAGAGGGGAAGCCTGTGTGCAAACATTAGTGGCAATATGCTTTCTGCAAGTAGCGCACCTCATGTCTTAGTCCAAAGCTGCAAGCTTGCTATGAATGCCCGACTCCCAGACAGCATCGCTCCAAGAAAACAAAACTGATCAGCCAGGTCTTCCCTGCTGCTTGAGCCGGAACCACAGCCATTCACGTTTTTCTCCCAGCCGCCCAGCTGACAGAATCGCACCGCAGCAACCACGGATGTTTCCCAAATCCATGCCTTCGCTCCGCTTGAACTCCTCCTGCATTTTGAGGGTCGCCTTCCAAAGCCCATGCTCGAGGCTAGCGGCCCCGGCGTCGCCTGAGACCCGAGCTGTCTGCTCATGTGGCGGCAAGGAGAGAACAATAACAACTGAAGCCATCCCGAAGAATCTGAGTTCAGACTTTGACACATCACTCGTGCTTCTCAGTATGGGCCAGGGGCACTAGCCTCTTTCGTGATGCCCGGGAGCGCAAAGTCCGACGCCCTTAACTTCCTTCCTGGGTTTCGGCACTCACATCTCGTCTGAACTTTCACCCTTCTCTCTGTCACAGATGCGACAAAGCGTGTGATCTGTGCAGCTGCGTCGCCAGGCCAATCGCCGCCCCCAAACTCGAAGGAGAATGTCGCGTCGCTGTTGCGGACGTAAAACGGTGCTGGATGAACAATAGACTCAATCAGCCATTTCAGCTCTTTTTTGGCCGATTCTAGGAAGACTACAAGCCCGCAACCCATCATCGGATGCAGTTTGCTTGTGATAGACAAGTAATTGTAAGCCGCGACCATCTCTCATTCTATTGATTGGCTGTGAGCACCGAGGCTTTGCGGCTCAGGATTGGACCTGCGATTTGAAACGAGTTTGGCCTCCGACGAGCAACTTGCTCTTTTTCCCGCCGCAGTGGAGCACTCACGGACTTGGTGGTGCCCGGAACTGTCGGAAAGCCGACGAGCGACTGCGTGCACATTTGGCGATCATCCTTGACGGTCACACCTCGTTGTGGCAGCTGGAGCTAAAGCTTGCGTGCGTTGTGCTCCGTAACTCCTTGGTCACTCTTACTCCGAGATGAGGTGCTTTCCTTACCGGAGGATAGGAGCCAGCTGTTAAACCGTGAAGGGACGGAAGGCCGCCGATAAGCCCTCGTCGAGGCTCACTTCTTGGCCCGTGCCCATCGCTGGAGAGGGGTCTCCACCTCCTGAGCTGATGCTTGAAGGCTTCTTACCGACATACACTGTACTGCTCTTGCCGGTCAGGAAGGAAAAAGAAAACCATGTCCCATCCTGCAAACATGCACCCAATTTCAAATTTCAGCAGCTTGAATAGTCTAGGAAAGGTTGCTGTAGGCCTTGGAGCTTGCATGTGATTGCGCGTCCATTGGCAACTTTATACCGGGACTGTTTGAGCCTTCATCTCAAGATGCGCAAACCTGGCGCTTAGAGCTCCGGGAAACAATCGAAACCTGGCGTCCCCTGCGCGTGCTGTCGGCAAATCCGGAAACCAGCTCTTCGCGTCGATCGGATTAAACCTCACTGGAAGCGAGGTTCCCAACTTGCCGCCAAGCAATGGACGTATATAAGGATTAAGCTCTCACAACATCATGTGGCGATTTCAGTTTTTTCCGCTTTCTTGTTCCAACTTGTGGGCGCTTGTGAAAACCGAGCGTCAGGCACCTCCCTTAGCCAGTTAACTGGCGACTAGAACAGACTTGACAAAGGAAGAGGGGCATGCTCTCGCACAGGGCTTGAATATTTGCAATGCAGGATGGCAAGCTCAGGCAAGCTCCATGCCAGGCCAGGAATGCAGAAACATATATCGAAAGCTGCCGGCCGTATGTTTCATTGACGCTTCCAAAGGCCCGGATTTCCGGCTGTTCGTTTGCCTAGACGGCTCTGCTGCTTAGACACAATCCCGGACAAGATTGAAGCCTAAAGCATACACCCCATTTGGCCCAGAGTCATATCCCGAAACCCTGAACCGATACTTTGGAAAGCAATGCATCCCGTGCATCCTGAAAAATGCCCAACCAAATAAGTGATGTCTCCCTTCCGGGTCGCTGCCGAAACCACGTGGTGTCCGCGAAAATCTCAACTGGCTTTCCTCGTAGGGCTTTGTCTTTGTGCTTGGAGGCTGTCTGCGGACACAATATGGGAAGAAGCAGTGCCCTGGAGATGGATGTCTGGGGTCAGCATAAAATACGTACCTGTATAAGGCGAGGATTTTCTGGGTGCTGGAGCCCAAGTACAGAACGCCCTGACCTGGAACTTTGACACGTCAACATGTGCCCTGACCCGCACCCGACAGCATGAACCGAAGCAGCAAAAGCGCCCTCGAAGTGCCACAAACCCCAACATCAACGGCCCTCAACCTCCCTTCCCCCGCTGAGGCACCTGTGGCCAGTGCTGCACGGCCCGAGAAGCGATGGAGAGCAAAGGACTGGACATCTGCTGCCTGAGGCGCAGGGACTCGGGGTGCCACCCCCTTCCGTAAAAACGGAGCCGCGTCAAATCAGTGAGGGTCGGCTGGGCGCTAAAGGCAGGTAGGGCCTGTACTGGTTTCTAGTTCGGCCGCAGTGCCCAAACCTACCGGCCAGTGGCAAAAACCACGAAGCTGGCGAAAGTTGGACTGCCGCTGCTGCTGTTCAGCTTTCATGATGGAATCCAGAAAATGACCTTGCAAGAATGTTTGTCTTAACTTTTGACCTGCATTTTTGGTGGTGAAGGCCCATGAATTTGCAAATGTGGTCGTGGCGCGGAAACATCTAAAGATTCAGGTTCTGAAGTTCTGAAGTTCATGCGGAAAGTAGAATTGAAACCTTGCCAGCCCTCTACCTGCAGGATCCTGTCGGGGATGCTGCCGAACATAGGGGCAATGACCTTTGAGCCACTGCATGCGGTCGGACGGTCCCACCTTCGCGTCAGCCATGGCCGATCCAATTGAACGGAAGCGCTCCTGAGTTCGGGAGTAGTAGTAGTGTGAGTAGTAGTAGTAGTAGTAGTAGTAGTAGTAGTAGTAGTAGCAGCAGCCGTGGTGGTGGTGGTGGTGGTGGTGGTGGTGGTGGTGGTGGTGGTGGTGGTGGTGGTGGTGGTGGTGGTGGTGGTGGTGGTGGTGGTGGTGGTGGTGGTGGTGGTAGGCGGTAGCTAGTAGTTAGTAGCTAGTAGTGAGTCGTGAGTAGACAGTAGCTTGTAGCTAGCTAGCTAGCTAGTAGCTAGCTAGTGGCTAGCAGCTAGTAGCTAGCTAGTGGCTAGCAGCTAGCAGAGTCGCCGTAATAAGTCAGTAGCTGGTAGTACGTAGTACGTAGTACGTCGTACGTCGTACGTCGTACGTAGTACGTAGCAGGTAGCATGTAGCACGTAGTAAGTAGGTACATAGTGCACAGTATGCAGTAGTCGTGGTACGCCGTCGTAGTGAAAGTAGCAGTGGTAGTAGTAGTAGTAGTAGTAGTAGTAGTAGTAGTAGTAGTAGTAGTAGTAGGGTCATCGTCCGTTGTTGTGGTAGTAGGGGTGGTAGTAGTCGTCGTAGTAGTTGTCGTTGCTCTGGTGATGGTGATACGCAACAAGCAGAATTGTTGTAGGGTGGAAGGCAGCAAACAAGATGCAACAACTTCGCACTATAAACATGCAGAAACCAAACAGTTAGCAACAAACACCGTGTGCCTGGCTTTGGGGCCGAAAATGCCGTGCATCAGCCGATCAGCTAATCAGCCAATCAGCCCTGAACCTTAAACCCTAAACCCCGAAACCCTTTTGCATCCAGAAACCCTAAAACCTTTTACATCCAAGCCTATTGCGAAACCCCGAAACCCTAAACCAAACCCCTGTAACACTAAACCCTAAACCCTAAACCTCTAAACCATACACCCGACCACCCGATCAGCCGATCAGCTGATCGGCTGCCCACGTTGCCAGCACATTGAACAAAAAGCTGCGATAGCCATGGCAACAGCCATGAAAAGCAACAAACACAACAATACTGATCACACGAGTAACACCGCCAAGAATAAGAAGAGCAAAAGCATAGCACCAGTAGCAGTTCTGATTCTGTTTAGGATCTTGATGATGGCGATTCTAATGGTTGTCATGCACCAAGACGATCGTAGGGGTGATATTGATCTTTCCAGTAAGGCTAATAATCCAGTACTCGATTTTGCATACAAAAAGCGCTTGAGCTCTGATCTCGTCCCCGACGTTATTATTCTAAGAACTACCGTCGTCTTGCAATACATTCTATCGGCATATACAGCAGCACATGGTGTCAAAGCGTTCTTTTTTGAATCCTTGTCATGTAACGTATGGCGTAATGCTGCACGGTGCATGTGCTGTACTCTGCTGTATTGCTGCACTGTGTTATATCAATTGGTACCTTGCTGTATTGATAAGTTCTGTACTATACTGCAACATGTGTATATATATGTATATATATATATATAAACATATAGACACATATGTACATGTATACATGCTGTATATACTTGGGGTAAATGCTGAGTGCTCAACGACTTCCCGACATCCGGACAACTGTGGGTCTACCTGCCTGCGGCGTCCTGAGACGTTCGTCGAGATGATCACATGAAACCGACATCTTGAAGTATGAGACCACCAACGACCACCAAGTATGCAAAGGCACCATCTGCAGTGCCAGGGCCTCTCGCACGAACTTGATGGATTCGGCCTCGCATTCCACATACGTATTACACTGTGACTTACAGCCGCCGCGGGCTCCCGCACATGACAGTCACAACCTCTGGTTTCGGACCCGAGCTCGGCTTAAGTAGGTGCTAAGTTAAACAGTTTAACTTAAACAGTGTTAGGGAAAGAGAGGGACGAAGACTCAGGGCTTCGCTGAGCAGCTCCGAACTCTCAAGGCATGAGGGGGAGGTCATTCATAAATCGCTCATGCCCATCCCCCACGACGGATGCAAAGCCCGAGAGTGGTGCGATGAGCCATGCAAGCCGCCTCTGCACAGAAGTAGTTTTTTGGCCCAGTCATCGACTCGATAGATATGCCTGGGTCTCCATCAGGTTCCCTCTAAATTCACCAAGTCGTAAGACCAGTTGTAAGACCTGTTAAATTGCTATCGGCTCGCTACCCACACAATAACAGCAAGATGAATCCAGCCAGGGCTCATGGCTCTGTGACCGTGCTATCTGCGAAGTCTTTGTCCAAGAGATCCTCGACTTGAAATCGCTACTCTTAACCCCTTTCCTATCAGCCGCCGGCTCAACGCAAAACCGCCGCCCATCCCCATTTCCCACGTTGACCCGGCAGCCATTCACCCGCCACTCGGGTGCAAGTAGCCCTGGATCCTCTACAATCTACAAGCGAGGCACAATGTAGTTCTGAGTTTCGGGTGACGGTATTAGGTATCATATGCCCTGATGCAAATTCACAACTGGCTCCGGAATATTGTTTCTGCATACCTCCTTTTGCTCTTCGGGGCACAGATGTGCATGCAAGGTGCATATAAATCAGCAGAGTGCATCAGGTTCTTGTACGGCTCGGCACCTGACATGGGCAAGGTCAGGCACTTCTGTCTGCGCACCACCCCACACTCCATGAGTGAGGCATCAACGGAAAAAAAATACAATACAAAACAGGAACTGCTGCGCCCTCTGTCTGTCTCTGTCTCTCTCTCTCTCTCTCTCTCTCCCGGCCATAGATCCCTGTCAAAGCCCCCGGGCATCATGCCCACCCGATGCTTTATCGGGGTGAGGGGAGTGAAGAACGGGTGCAGGTCAACAGACCGCTCATGCTACAAATAAAACGATAACGAGTAGAAGATGACCCTACACTCTCAAAGGCCACATGCTGATTGCCAGTGTATATTCCCCCGGGCTTTAGGGGTTGCGGACAACCCCTGGGCCCGGAGGCCTACCCCTTGCACTCTGACATTCAAAGGATATGGTCTGCATAGGCCCTTCAAGGAACAAAGCCGCCCGGAGAAACGATGAGGGACTCGATGCCTTCACTCGCATCGAAAATCCGCAGCTGGCCGCACCCAATGTCCAGCAGCACAGGGTGCCTTGCTGTAGGATGAAGCATCAAGCCATCAAGGAAAGCTTCAAACATTAAAAACCTAACCCATCCGGCGTTGGGTGATTCCGGAGGAATTGAACATTGCAAGGTTCAGGTCCTCGTCTGGGTCGGGCTATCGAGGAACTAGAATTGGCCAAGTCCTGTCGTGTTCCTTAGACGCGCGGCGGAAGTCGCGCAGCCTGCTGCAGTCTATAAATTCCGTCCTGCGTCATGGTTTCGCGAATTACAATTTGCAGGGTCTTGTTTAGGTGCAACTTGGGCCCGCTCCATGTCACAAGCTGCTGAAGATTTGCAAAATCTCAAACGTGAGTCGTCGTTGTCGCAGTCGACTTCTACTGCTACTACTACTACTACCACTACTACTACTACTACTACTACTACTACTACTACTACTACTACTACTACTACTACTACTACTACTACTACTACTACTACTAGCACTGCTACTGCTACTGCTACTACTACTACTACTCCTGCTACTACTACTACGACTACTACTACTACGACTACTACTACTACTACTGCTACTACTACTACTTGCTAGTCGCTAGTACTAGTACTAGTACTAGTGTACGTGAACCAAAACTAGTGCTAGTAATTGCACTAGTACTAGTACTAGTCCTGGTCCTGGTCCTGATCCTTGTGCTGCTGCTGGTGCTAATAGTAGTACTAGTCATGGTCCTGGTCCTGGTGCTAGCACTAGTACTAGTACTAGTACTGTAGTACACTGGAAGTAGTATTAGTTTTGTAGTAGTAGTAGTAGTAGCAGCAACAGCAGTAGTAGATGATAGCAGCAGTAGTCGTCGTCGCAGTGGTCGGTGTAAGCTACTACTCCATCGTAGCATTTTTCTCGATGCCAACCTGCTTTCTCTTGATGACAAACTTCTTTTGACGTTTATCCATCTACTTATTGATATCTATGCCCTTGTTATGGCGTTGTACTTCCGGCATCGTGGAGATTGCCCGCCCAAAAGACACAATACATCTGTGTTATCTCCTCACAGGTTTGGAAACAAGATTTTCAGCAGCCTTAGCATAATTACAACACTGTAAACGGAAATCAACGTAAGGGTATGTAAGAGTACAGCTTGATGCTATAGCATGAGAAATCGTTCGACCGCATCAAAAAGAAATGTTGCATGCGCAGGATAGAAACAAAGCATCCCAACACTGTCATGTCAGTGTCACTTCTTCACAGGTAGTTGCTAAGCCTGACTAAGCCTAAGCGACCCGGAACCACAAACTCAGACTAACCACACTGTTCTGGACTTAGATCGCTTTCGGGGTCGGTTTGCTCTCATAGACCACCTGCTTTACAGCACGGTAACAGCGGTGCAGTGATCAAGAACCCACCATGCCCCGAGCTTCGTCGGCAACTTGCTGTGCTCCAGCGTCCCCCAGGTGCCGCTTCTGGACCTTTGTTTCTGGCAGGCCCGCACAACTCATGTGATTGCGTGGTCCCCAAAACCTTTGCGCTTCTTTGGTCTTGGATGCTCCTTGGAGAACCCATGGCCACATACCACAGGTACACTGCATCATCCGGAATTTGCACCGGGGGATGCCATGAAACACCTCCAAAAGCCTGAAAATCAGAATCGAAGCCGCTGGCGTCGACGCAACTCCCCTCTGCAAATCATTAGCTGGTTAGCTTGAGTAGAAAAGCTGGTTTATGTTCTGACACTCGGACACAGTAAGCTGAGTGGTTTCGGGCTGGAAAAGCTCAGTTCACGTCACCCTCTTACGCGTGTTATGCCGGTGCAGGACCTCTATTGCATCACATGTCAGCTTCAAGCATATGTCAACTGGAAAGCTGACACGGTCTGGTCTGGAAGCCTCTTAAAACTCGAAGCTCCAGGCAGGGGATGCAGGAGGAACGCATGCTCGTGAATTTCCATAAACAACAGTTCATGACGCTTGGCCGACTTCGAACCGAGGTGTGTCTGGACCCTTGCGGACGCAGCTGGGCGCAGGGCGCGTGCACGAAGCCGAAGTCCTTCTCCCGGCGCGTCACCACCGCGCGCCAGAAAGCGCTGCCGAGGTCGAGCGTGGTTCTCAACACCACCCCGACAGAGACGTTCAGCAGATCCTTGGACTTCTGCTTGCATGTCGCGTGTCTTCAACACTCTTTCAGAATCAGTTTCGACGATTGATGAAGACAATTCTGCAAGGGATCCCCACTTTTGCTCCAAGCCGTGCAGCCGGGTCGCTTCTCCTGAGGCTGCATCGACCTCGCCGACCAGGGTCAGGGAAGCTCCCAAATGAGCCTGATCAGAGGCGAGACACGCGAGCCGATTACTATCGAACTTCCGTGTGTTCTCGGGATTCTCGGGCTTTGATTCACGTTCTCGGCATTGCTTCCCCGCAGGTGCCCGAGTTTGCCTCTGCCTTCGCTCCCACTGTTGTTTCAGGAGGCACACGTCAGCCAGGAAACGAAAGACTCGTCTGGTGACCCCGAACCACCCAATTGCTGGGGCCTTTGCCCCTTCCCGAAGCGGGTTCGGCCTGTGCCACGGTCTTGTGCATGTCCAGCTCGCCCGGCACGATAGACTGGGCGGATGCACTTCCAAGAAATCCTAGAAAACCATGCGTATGTCAAGCAGCAGCTGGACAGGCTACCGTCTGCTTCCGGGCCGGGCCTGTTTCTGCCTGAAGGCCTCAGGCACCTCACCATCAGGCCGACCGGCAGCCGCCGTGCGAACCTCTGCTTTCTGCGAAACTGCCATCAGGGAAAGGGTTGGCCGAGCGGGGATCTGCCTGCATGACCAACTCTTAGGACTCGCGAGCAGGTGCACAGGTGCACACTCCTAATCAAAAGTTGATTCCAGCAGACTCCTCGTCTACATCGGTGCCCACATACAAAAACTAAGCCGCAGGCATTAGTGGGTTGAGGCCATGCCCGCTCGATGGCAGCGAAGATGTCGTTGACATACGTGCCTGGCAGGCAAGCTAGCAGGAGGGCCCCCAACGATTGGTTTGCAGCTGTGTGCTTGCTCCAGATTTGCCAATACGCAAAGGGCACAAAGGCCTGCAGTTCCTAGAACTCACTCAGGGAAGTGTGGCTGAGCTACCTCTAAACTGCAATGCGCAGGACTCGTCTGCGCGAATTCCATGTATCAGACAGGTGATGTTTAACAGGTGATGATTACATTTACATACATGCTCCGACTGCTGTGCTTCATCGTTACACTCTTTCGGCGAAAGACATGTATGTCCCTATGTGTATATGCCGATAGGGCACCTGCTTAACTGTTTTGCGTGTGAATGAACATGTCAGCGCATTGATGTGGATGTTGTTTAAGATGCTTTAAGCTTCAACCAGCAACAGCGGATGTCGATTGCATGCTGCAGTAACCCCAGAACTGTTCATTTCCTGCGCCCATTCTAGCCGAGAGGCGGTTTAATGTGATGTTGAGCAGGGGAATTTGATGCTCTCCTGTCTGCTGCAAGACCAAGCCATGAACCTCAGACGCACGAGAGGGCCTTCCTGCAACGACAGCAGAATCGCCTTCGAGGATGCGCTGGCTGTCATGGATGTGGACGCCCCAAAACAGTGACACCCCTGACACCGACACGGAATGCCAGGATCTTGGGGCGGTATGGACACAGTTCCGCGTTCAGCCAGGACTCCCGGTCCAACATCAGGTCGACATGCCCATCCAGAGTGTCCAGGATGCCTGAGAAGCAAGGCCACGCCTCCCCGCACGCAATGTCTCGCACGCAGTCTTGCTCCTCGAAACGTATCATGCAGCCACCACAATCTTTGCCTGCAACAAACCAACCCACCTCCTACACAGCCACACAAATTTCGACCATATGAGGTCATCAGGTGGCAGCAACTGCAAGCGTGTTTTGCGAAGTGGTTCGAGCACCCCGAGCCCCCCGCTCGAAGCAGGGCCGTCCGAGGTGGCTTTGACCTGACCATCTCAGGCGGGAGGGCGACGACCGAGACAACCTCGAAGCACACAAAGGGCCTTGAGCGTCAGGTTCAGCTCCAAATCCTCCTTCTGCCCATCAAGCCTAGGTTTGGGTTTGGATTGGCGACCCGAAGAGCCGGATGCTTGAGTCAGCCGAAGTTTTCCGTCGCTTCTTCGAGCTGGGCATCGACTCGGACAGGCAACGATTATTTGTCCTTCATTGAATAGGCGTAGAATGGGGTAGAAGCATGGAGAGGGCCTACAATAGGGTGAGGGTAGGTCTGGGACTGATGCTAAGTCTGCCAAGTCGTAAGGTCTTGAGCATTTCGGCGCTCTCACTTGGGCAATCCACGAGCCGGAAAGAAAGCACGGCAAGATGCAAATTTGTGTTCAGTCACACACACACACACACACGTGGATCTCCAAGCTGCCGAGGAACAGCAGAGGCAGTCGCAAGCGTTCCAGCCGCGCCTTGGAGGCAGGCACCTCAGGCCTGAAAATGCCTGAACGCACGTCCACTCCCCCTTGCTACCAAAGCCAGCATAGCCAAGCGGATGACAACGATGTCGGGCTTGTGGCGAATGACAGTGGTACACATGTGGCTGGTGATCCGGGCGATGAAGATGAAGATGATCATCATGTTGTGGTGGATTGTGGTGGTCTTCGCTGCAGCAGGTGCTGGTGTGCTGTGGCGCTTGTGCTGGTGCTGGTGCTGCTGCTTGGTGCTGCCTCCTGATGCTACCCCTGCACACACCAGTAGCACAGCTTGTCCAGGCCTCCGGTATTTCCACCTGGCTGTGGTGCTTGGGGCGGGAGGGCTACCTCAAGCACTGGCTGTTGCCACCCCTCCGTCGATTTGGGGCGACAGGCAATGATCGATCATCACTGTGGCCGAACTATCCATTCCTAATCTTGTCGGAAGGGGAAACTTCATGTTCGTGCACTATGTTATGAATAGAATGCCTGAAACACCAGGTGCCCGAAATGCTGGTCTCCGCCCCCAAACCTGAAACACAACAAACACTCGGAACAGCGCACGCCCAGCCTTGTTGCCCTCTCTGATACTCATCGAACCCACAGATGCGAGCTTCCCGGGAATCGACGGGAGCAGCTTCACGAGATTGGTGCCATTGCCTGCGCGGTGCGGAAACCTCTCTCGTAAAGCACTTGAGCCAATTTACTGCATTCAGAAAAGGCACTCGCTGCAGCAGCTGCAGCAGCAGCAGTAGTAGTAGTGATGATAGTGTTGGCAGCGGAAGCTGCAGCATCAGCAGCAGAGTAGCAGTAGTAGCAGCAGCGGGAGCAGCAGCACGAGGAGTAAATAGCAGTAGTCGTCGTCGCCGTGGTGATGGTGATAGTAGTGTTAGCAGACCAGCCCAGCTGCCTAAGCCAATCTCCACGAGCTTCATTGGCGCCACCCCACTGCCCTCCAACAGGATCTTGGTGAACTCCCTCCTGTGAGTGTGGAAGGCAGAACGTTTACGCGGAGCTGCCAACAATGGAAAACTATTCAGGCCGATGGCCTGCGCCCAGCCCTCGAAGACTTGCACACATGCGGCGGCTGCAAAAATCTAGAAATTTACCCACAACAACGCCCAGCAACTTCCAACGATCTCACTGCAATCATATTTCTGCACCAAATTGCTCGGCCGAATAGTCAACTTGGAGGCCCGTCTCCGTGGAGGTGCCATCGAAAACAGAAGCCTTGCAAACGTTCACGGCTGAAGTTTCTGCAGGTTTGAGGCGGTGGACGTTGAAGATGTTGCCTGTAAGGTAACATGTGGTGCAATTTCCCTCCTATGGTATCCCCCCCTGACCCCCGCTCCCAGGGCTGTCTGCGATAACAGTCACAGTAATCACGATCCTCGTGACAGATGTCAAGCCGCCAATTGTCGCTGGAATTGTGATTTTTTGGTGTAACGTTTCCCGTAAGTTTTCGACATGCAGGGCAACTTCCCATCGTGAACATGTCATAAGATGCATAAGTAGCTGGAACGGTATCGTGCTTTGCATGGTTGTGTTGGTTTTTGTGGGGTAGGTTGCAAAACACGGTTCGCACCCGAACAGAACGGAGACCCAGAAGCTGGCTGACACCCTGCTGCCTTCTTCACTGTCGCTCTCTGTCTGTTTCTGTTCGGTGATCCCTGCCAGAGGTGGTGCAACTTGTTGGAAACTGCGCAGGTTCTACGGGAGGATCTAGGCATCGTGAGAGCTGATCCCAAAATCTTGCTGCCCGGGGAACGTTTGAGGACTTGAGGTAGGAATGCAGCCGGGGCATCGCCTCCCAACGAGAGGCGCATGCACAAGCACGTGTCGCGGGCCTGAAGCAGACCAAGTTGGCAGCCTCGCAGGACTTGGAGCAGTTCTGGCCTCAGCTGCTGCAGGGTGGCCAGTGCCCTCATCCGAGCAGCACTGCTAGATTGCGAGCACGAGCTGCTGCGCGACCGGCACAGTCGCGCAGAGTTTCGGTGCCACCGCGCGGCTCACAAGATACTTCTCTGCCAGGGGCTTTGGCAAAACGGCAGCTGCTGTGACGTCTTGAAAGACAATGCTCACCTGCCAGGGTCCAGTCTTTGCACCTGCTTCCGATATAGACAATAGAAAACACCATGGCCCCTTCATGAAGAGGCAGGCGCAATCAGTCACGGCGGTCCTGGTCGGTCTCGCACTGCTCGCCGTCCGCGCGGGGTAGCAGACAGCGGCCGTGGATGTTGAAGCTATGCCGGAGCTGCCCAACCCTGTCACGAATGACACATTCGCAAGTCCGGAGGCTATACCGTTGGTGCTGCTCCGACTTCCGATGCAGCCGCACCAGGAATGCCTCCTCGGAATCTGTACGAAAGCTTGGCCCAGACTCTCTGGGATGGCGCTCGCCAGCACTGGCCACACCGAAGTCAGAAAGATCTCCTGGGCACCATCAATGAAGTTGCCCATCCCTCTTCCCCTCACCAACTCAACACGCAAGGTTCCGATTTCAAGCTATCTGCTAAACCGAACATTGTAAGTAGATTCAACCCTTTCCTCGTTGCTCACGAACAACACAACTTCAAGCTGTCATGCTGTGCCCCCTTGCTGGGCAAATCATGGATCTCAGTTTCTTTCAATGCAAGCCTTTCACATCGCATACGTGATGTTAGCAGAGAGGGCTGTCACTGCAGGTCTTATATGCAACTAGCAGCATCCAGGTCCCCGTACGAGTCCATCAAGTAGTTGATCAGCCCTTGCCGATTCTTGGGCTTGGGTTCAGAAGCATGAACCTACAAGCTATGCCTGCAGCCTTCAGCCACATCCATATCAATCAAGTAGACGGGAGCCGGGAGCTAAGACTGGAACAACATGAATGAGAAATTGCCTCTTCAACTCAAACCCGCCAAGACGTGAAAACCCGCTTGCAATGGTCCTCCACAAAGCTTTGGCCACCCAACCCCCAGGTGTCAGTAACAGGCTTCCGGGTTGTCATAGGGCTTTACGGAGAGAGACAGCCTAGCTGGAGCACAAGGTCGGGAAAGGCGCATCACCGCATCTGATTTTCTTGTCGAGACATAGGAAGACAAATCAGATACAAAGGGAGTCCAGGGGACAATGAGCGAGCATAACATTCCCGAGCGAAGGGAGCGACGTCGTGGAGTTCGGAGAGGTGCAGCATAGAGAAAGCAAGTGGTAACAACTGCGACAAACATAGGGACAGACAAGATCCGGACTTGCAGAGATTCGCAAAAAAAAAAGTTTTCAAAAACTAACCAAAGTAGCCCAAACAAAGCGTGAGTCGTGGGGCGGCTACTCAGGACCCAAAGAGCACGCAACGATTCATCCGGTGGGTGGGCCTTGAACCAGACCACCACGGCCAAAGACCAACTTTACGTCAGAGACGGCCGTTGGCAACACCTCCCAATGGCCACCTGCGAATGCAAGCTCACGGCACACAATCTGGGGGGCCTTCAGGATGTCGAGACTCTTTCTTGCTGACAAACACGGTCTCTTTTTGTCTCCGGATGTGCAGACCACCGGCTAGTTAAACATTTATTCAGACCTGCTTCCATGTCCGTAAGCTTTCCCGTATCACGCTTGAGCCGAAAAGATAGAGGAGCAAGCCTACTTCAGAACATGGACAGAACAGGACAGAGCGTCAACACTCCTTGTGATTTCGGGTGTAGAATACGGTTCATGGAAACAGGTCCCACCTGTGCCCACGGGTTGCTTTGCAATCCGTGCTGCTGACCGCTACAGTAACGACCTGAAAATCTTGGCTCTTCGGTTCGACTAGTTGTCCCGAATGGCGGGTGCAGTTGCCGAGGCTTCGGGTTGGGCCTTGTCTCAACTTCTTGTGTGAAGATACGATTAAATAGAGTCCTTACGGACAAGTGTTGCGGAGACTTCAAGCACCACAACAGCACAGACTCCTTCCAATGACTCAAAAATGCAAAAACTATCCAAAACCGATGAATTCTGGCCGGACAGCGCGCTGCCACTGCCCGAAAACCCTGCACAGCTTCATACCGTATCGATATAGACTTCATGCATATCGTCTGAATCACACTCACACATAGGCCGGAGGGCATGAGACTCCGGCCGAGCCTGGACGTCGTCTCTGCTAGCGTCGTTCTCGTCACGCAGCATCCACTGACCGATGATCTCGTTTCCCACACTCGGGCTGCAACATAGAACCATAGTTGCGACAGTTCCGTAGAGAAGAGCCATGTAGAGGGGCTTCAGCAGAAGATCTTGCAATAGACTCATCCCCGTGCTTTCCAGCCACTTCGAACCGTCCGTTTCGCTCACGTTTGCCAGGAAGCCAAATATGTACAGAATCGACATGCTCATGTCCAAAAACCAGATCAACCAAAAGAAATGGCGCCGACAACGCCAGCTTCTTAGCTGTCGCTTCTTTGCCTCTTCGGTCCAGTGACGGATTATGACCTGGCGCCTCTGGACGGCAGCCAGCAGCAGGATCAGCAGGTCACCCATGCAAGCGGAGAGTATGCCCACAACGCCAGCGCGAAGCATACGTTCCCCAAAGCTTTCCGGAGGCCCACAGTCTTTCTCCGAGTCAGAGGAAACGGCGGAGGCCGTGAAAAAAAGTGCATTGGCTGCCCCCGCGGACACTAGTTTCAGAATGATCAGTGAAGCACGGACCATGTGGGACCTGAACAAGCTGACATACTGCATAGTGATCCAGGGATGCATAGCCCGCATCAGCAGAACCACACGCTTGCACCAGTAGCTTTGTAGGAATTCCTTCGCAGCAGACGCTTTACCTCTTGCTTTGGGGGTTGTTGCCACGTCCATGCGAACAAAGTCCACGACTGTCATCGACACGCCGGCTGTGTTGGAGTGTCGCATGTGCGCATGACCAACTGCTGTCTCCGACGCTCGGATACTTTGTCGATCGGCATGACTCTTGTAGGCATAGATGGAGCTGATGCAACGGTTGATCGTAACCACTTTGGCATTCATCAGCTCTGTTAACACGTCGGCATCTGGCATCTCGAAGATCTGGCTCAGGAACCACATGAACTGCGAGAGCATCCACGCCCCTGCCTGCTGGCAAATGTTGGGGCGATGCGCTTGCTTCACTTCTGGCTCCTGTTCGTCGCTGTTGTCGAACTCGTGAGGAGTGTCCTCCTCGAGCTCGACGAGCAAAGCTGCCTCCACTTCCTCCCTTGAGAGCGCTCGCTTTGCGTCAAGGCGCAGGGCATACAACAACAGAAGGACGAACACGAAGACAGCGATGAAGGCAATGACGGTGGGCGACCGGCCAGTCCACGTGCCTTTGCCGAAGTTGGCGAAGCCCTCCGCAGACAGGACTTGGGAGGCGGTGGAGCACCGGATCACCTGGAGCAGGACATCGAGCACTGCCCCAAACACAGTGAGGTGGGATGTCTGGCAGATGAGCTCACCGTCTTCATGGGCGAGCCGGAGCAAGCCCTTCGACGACCAGGCGGATGTCTCCTCGTCCCAGAAGGCACACTCAGCCTCTTCGCTGGCCCCGGGCAGCCGAATTTCGATGGGCTGCGCCAACGATGGCATCGGGACCCTCTGTCCGTCGGCCTTGCGGAAAGCAATGCTGACAGGCCGGGAGACCAGACTTGGCCCATCCCCAGCTGCGCCTCCGCCCTCGGCTGCCTCGTTGGTGCCATCGAACCCGGCACGTAGCTCTGAGGAGCCGACCGAGATGCTTAACAGCACCAGGCCACTTCCGCCAACGCTGGCCGCAGCCTGGGCAACGACCTGTGAAGGCACCTCCACCGTGGCATTCTCACTCAGCACGGTGATGTTGCGGCTCTGGCCGAAGATCGTCACGCTATCCAAGGCCAGAGTCTGTGTGGTCGCCAAGTCAGACTGGGTGAGGAGGCTGCCAAGAATACCGCTCGAGTTGGAACTGTTGCCGAGCTGGGCTACCAACTGCCTGGCAACCTCTTCTTCCGAGCGGTCAAGATCTGCCAACAGTAGATCCATACTGCTGGCCATCGAAGGAATCCCTGTTCGGGTCGCCGTGGCCGTGGCAGTGGTGCCGAGAGCTCTTGTGGATGACACCGAGGTAGAAGTGCTTATCGAAGTGCCTGATGTTGATGTCAAAATTGTCGACGTGCCGGTCGTGGTAGTGATACTAAGAGTCGTACACGTCGTCGTCGAGGACCTTGACGTGCTTGATTCGGTTCTGGAGGTTTCGGTGTATGTGGTGCTCCTCGAGAGTGTGGAGGATGTAGTGGAGGCCGTTCGGGTGTAGGAACTTGAAGATGTGATTGACCTTGTTGCTGTGGACGAAGTTGACGTCACAGATGCCGTAGTTGATTTAGATGTTGTGGATGAAGTTGACGTCACAGATGTTGTAGATGACCTGGTTGTTGTGGACGAAGTTGACGTCACAGATGTTGAAGTTGACCTGGTTGATGTGGATGTTGTTGAAGTGGCGGTCGTCGACGTCGTAAGGGAGCTTGTCAGGCTCGTGGAAGAGGTTGTCATAGAAGTAGCAGTTGCGGTCGAGGTTGTCGCCGAAGTGGAAGACGAAGTCACGGACGTCGCTGTTGAGGTCGTCGCTGTTGAAGATGTCTGAGTTAGTGTCGTCACTGTGGCGGTGGTGACAGTACTGGTTCCAGATGTACTTGTCGAACTCGTTTCGGTGGAAGATGTGAAAGATGCAGTCGTAGAAGAAGAGGATGTGGAGGTCGATGAAACCGTGCTTCGTGTGGAGGACGTCCTGGTGGGTGGGGTTGCGGGTCAAAGGCCCGGGCAATTCGAGACTATGCGTGACGGTGGGGTCTAGCAGGAATAGAAAGACAAAACAAAGAGCAGACCACCCTGCAATCTAAGATCAACCCACCTGGATTGTGTGGTAGATGTGCTGGAAGCACTTGTTGTCGTCGTTCCGCTGGCCGTCCTTGTGGTGCTTGTTGTGCTCAAGGTGGCGGTGATGCTAGAAGTGCTGCTGGCGGTTGATGATGATGTGACGCTGGATGTGGATGAAGTCTGCGTTGAGGAGGAGGAGACTGTTGACGTTGTCAAGGTCGTGGTGGTCGTGGCGGTCGTGGTGGCCGTCTCCGTGGCTGATGTTGCAGAACTCGTGCTGGTCATGGATGTATGAGATGCATCGAACCTCCACAGCGAACCTAACAGGCCGAGCCAGTCGTAGCCTCCGAAGGCGTAGAGACGCCCGTTCACGGGGTCCCAGGCTGCCGCGCCTCGGTCTTGCGCAGGGGGGCCTGTCTCAGTGAACTCGCTCCAGCTGTTGGCGCTTGGGGAATACAAGAACAGGGAGTTCAGCCTCGAACCACCAGAACCAGCGAAGCCCAGCATAGCCCTAGCCTGAGAGTCCCAGACTGCGGAGGCGTATCTCCGTGCTGTGATGCTGCCTGATGGAGCAAGCTGGCTCCAGGCGCCATTGTAGCTCCATAGATCGCCCAGGGTTGTCCCAGACGTACCGCAACACATCAGCATGCTGCCGGTAGCAGGATCCCAAACGGCCACGTGGCCGTCCCGTGCGGCCGGGCCCACAGCCACAGGGCTGGACCAGCTATCTGTGGCCCGGTCGTACTCCGCGAGGCTACCCAGCTTGTTCAGCATATTGTCCGAGCCCCCGAACACGATCATCCGATCGCTGGTGCCGTCCCACACCGCCGTGTGCCTTGACCTCCCGACAGTGCCGGTAAGCTCCGTCCACGAGTCGAGTTGCACGTCATAGCGGTGGAGATCGTTGAAGGTGTTGCCAGCAGAAGCCAGATTCGTACCTGCAAAGATGTACAAGCTTCTTGCTGCGGGGTCCAACACTGCAGAATGGCGGTATCTAGCCGTGGGGCCCGAGGCTTTCTGCGTCCAGAGGTTTGAAGCTGCGTTGTAGAAGTACAGGTTGTTGGACTTAATGCTGAGTAACAGCTCCCCACCAAACATCCAGAAGCCTCCGTCGTCAGCTCCGGGATCCCAGACCATGGTGTGTCCGCTGCGGGCGGCTGGTGTCCCAGTGGGGAAAAGCAATGTCCATTCGTTAGCAGATACCAAAGCTGCGAGTTGCACGGCGCAAAGAATGAAATGAAAAGGACTCTTGGAGCATGGATGCTGGAACCATTGGCTCATGGGGAAGGGCGGCGAAGCGCTTCCGAAGGTCACTGAATGGAAAATCTGGGACCTAGATGGTACACAAAAGCACCTGCCCAGAAATAAACATGTGCAAACATCAGTGGCAATATGCTTTCTGCAAGTAGCCAGCCTCATGTCCTAGTCCAAAACTGCAAGCTTGCTATGAATATCCGACTCACCGACAGAATCGCTCAAAAAAACAAAACTGATCAGCCAGGTGTTCCCTGCTGCTTGAGCCGCAGCCATTCGCGTTGAGTCTTGGGGTTCTTCCGGCTTTTTTTGAACCCGTGCTGAGGCCAAGGCTTACGACGGGAGAGGCATGTGCAAACGCAACCTTAATATAGCCCAAAAACGAGGCGTCTGAGAGCCGTACCTTCGCTCAGCTTGAACTCCCCTTTCATATTGAGAGTCGCCTTCAAAGGCCCCTCCTCGATGCCATCGGCCTGGGTGCCGGCGTGAGACCCAAGCTGACGTGGCGGTAAGGAGAGAACAAGGACAACTGACAGGAGACATCCCAAAGAATGAATCTAGCTACTGTAGTGTCACTGAAACCACCAACATTCAGCCGAGACTTTTACACATCAGTTGTTGTTTCTCAGCCTGGGCCAGGGACACTGGCGGCTTGCGTGATGCCCGGGAGCGCAGAGTCCGGCGCCTTGAACTTCATTCCTTGGGATTCGGCACTCAGATCTCGAAAGAAGCCAGGCCACACGGCGACGTCGAGAACTTAACACTTCCTGCTGTCTGCACGTCATATGTCGGCTCCATGGTGCTATAAGGACTGCTTCGCAGATGAGACAAACCGTGTGTTATGTGCAGCTGCGTCTCCTTGAACATAGACGTTCACGGTGCCAGGCCCATCGCTGCCCCCAAGCTCGAAGGAGAATGTCGTGTCGCTGTTGCGGACAAGACTTCCTACAACGTCAAAGCTTACGACCTGGATCTTCTCGATGAGGAGATGCACATCACCGATAGGAGTTGCCGGCATGACCATGCGAATCGAGGCATTGCCATACTTCTCCGGTGGATAGCGGATGGAATCGAGCTCCTGTTGCGCACGGCAAGCCTGGGACTCGAAGCTACCCTTCTCGGTAGGTGTTGGTGCCTCCATGCGGTGCTCCTCTTCCCCTGTGTTTGCATCATGCTGAGCGATATCAACTTCGCGGCCTTCTGCCACCAAAGAACTGATCCTCGAGGTCGACGCAGCTTGAAGCAGGGCAGGGTGGCCGGAGCCACCATGTGTCTTACTCCACGTGTGCTCTTTGAAGATTGTCTGAAGATTTGCCTGCACTTTGTCCTGGGGCAGCACGTACTGCGGCTTTCCTGCTACATGCGTGCCAAATTTCCAGGTAACAGCTTGCGGCGCTTTGTGGACTTGTCTGCCGTTCTCGAATCGATGCATTTGCAGCTTTACTGCCTTGTAGAGAGCTTCCGCCTTGCCTCCTCTGCCACATAAACGCTCCGTGACGTCAGAACCTATCAGGCCCTTGGAGAAATGCACAAGCACACACGACCCCATCTGCGGATCTTTCTCAAAGGTTGGATAGCCCCTCAACTTCGTCAAGTCGTACTGCCTCTGCCCCTTTTTCATCTCCAGGCGCTTCAATTTCTCAATTCGCAGCGGCCACTGCAACAAGCGAAGGTAGCCACAGCTCAGCACTGCCATGACTGAGCGCTCCTCCCAGTCTTTGTTGTACCAAGAAAACTCATCTGCGAAGAAAGCGTATCCGAAATCCACGCTGGGCAAACCTGCCAGAGCGGATGTTACGAGGGACTTGGCGTCGACCTTCATCTGCAAAGTCCCACCGATCTTGATTTGCAAGCTTCCTTTCTCCCCCCCGGCAACATCCAAACTCACACTTCCGCCTATCTCGTCGATTCCGTCGACCACGGTCATGTCCAACTGACTGGTCGTCGGCCGCTGGAACTCCGCAGGCAAACGGGCGTCCCAGGCCTCCTCCCCGAACCCGGAGCCGGAGCCGCGCTGCGCTCCGTCTCTCAAAGGCCGGACCATGGGCCGCGTCTGGCTCACTTCGACTCCGTTGCGAGCACTCAAGAACTGGATCCTGCCAGAATGATCAATTGCGATCTTGCCACCCTTGCACGAGATACCAAAGGGCAGAGACAATGCCTGCGGAAGCCGCAAGGCAATAGCCTTGGCCTCTGCCAAGATGATCTGCCACTTCGCTGTTGCATTCGCGCTGGCATCGGGTTTCTGTGCCCAGTTGCGAATTGCAGCGAGGGCCAAGGAAATGTGATTCGGGTTGTATTCGAGATCTCGGAACTCTACTTCTGCCAACTCGCCCTCCACTGGGAGCTTCGGAAGGAGCTCCTCAGAATGCAACCCGTGCAGACGTACAGCCTTAGGCATTCCGTGTCCCCACCGAAAGCACCGAAAGCCCTGACCGTTCCCCCACCCCTGGTCCCTTGCACACCCAGACTGCGCCAGCTGCCGACCGGGGCTCAGTGAGCGCAAGGTCTTCCAGTAGTCCAAGAGGGGCTTGCGCGAGGCTGTACCTTGGAGGGAGGCGGGATGTGGGATCGAGGGTGTCGATAGAGTGTCCATTCAGAATTCCTGTGACGCTTTCTCCCTTGACAGCCGTGTCGTAGTGATACAAGACTTCGTCGGCAGCAACTGTCTACTCTCGAATTCGGATGTCTTTCATTGCGGCCTCTTTCTGTGCTTAAGTCCCCATACTCCATGCGTTTCCACGTATCGTGCAATGTGACATATGCATCCACGTGCAAACGAGCCGCAGCGGATTCCCATCCTCGCCTGATCCCGCTTGTAGCCTCGGCAGCACATATCTCACCCGGCCACCTTGCGGTGTGGCTGAATGACGCTGCCCCGAGCAATCACAACTCGCCCAACATCCATGCTTCGGTTCCAATTTCGGCCAACCTGGATTGGCTGTACGGGCAAAAGCTGATCTTACTTCAAGCATCCAGATTGTATGCCCTACATATCACTGCATCCATGTCGTGAAAGCGACTTTCAGGTGTCTTAAACGCTGACAGGATTCTACATGAGGCAGCCAAGTCAGCTCCAAGCCACCCCCCCTCAAGCTCACAGGCCATAACAACAGCCAAGTCTGAAAACCCTGGAAGGAACGAAGCAAAGATGACAAGATGAGTCCGGCACAACTGTTCCCCACATATCAGAGTTCACCGAAGGCAGGGTTCGGGGGCAACCTGCTTCCCAGCTTGCTTGCCCAGAAACTTGAGCTCTTTAGGATGGAAGCTTGCCCTGGCAAGGCCGTTGTCGGAAGAGTTCCAGCTAACGCCACCAGCGAGATGCGCATTGAGACCTGGAAGGGGACTGGTGGCAGGGAGCTGCCGGCAGTCCTGGATTCTAGTTCTTGCGAATTAAGTGTCGGCACCGGGTCGCTCTTGGTAAATAGTAAACACGCAGTCATCAAGAGGATTTGTCGCGAGTGCTCGGAAGATCATGCATGCATGCAAATCGGCGCTCTGATACCCTCCGGGGATTCCAAATTTCTCCAGCCCCTAGCCCTCCTGTCCAACTTTGTGAACATGTCAACATGGTCGTTATCGCCGGGCGTCGCCACATCTTGCACTTGCATCAATCACGATATGACTCTTTGCCCGGCTCTTTTTTGTGGTTCTGCACGTGTCCATCGGCCAATCATGAGCCTCCTATCATTATCAGAATCCAACAGATCTGCAAAAGCTGCCTTACCAGACTGAGTGTTGCAAAACTCCGGAGCCGAGGAGAGTATGCACATGCTGTGTCAGCCGTGGTGTGTCATGATGGCTTGCCTGTCGGGGCCCCTCAGGTGCAATTGAAGCGTCTAGCCCAGAAACGCCAAGCACCGCCCAAAAAATAACAAGCCAGGGAGCCCCGAAGGTCGGCGGCTTTGCTCCCGATCACACGAGCCTGCCGGCATGCAGTTCGAAGGTCCACGGCAGGTTGCGCTCGCTACCAGACGAGGGTGGTCTTAGCTTTGGGACGTCTGTGCGCATCGAGGGTCCTTCAAGAAGGGCTGCAAGAATTGGACGGACAGCTCGTTGCTGATCTTCCTGGCAGGCATTTCGCTTTGAAGGCCTCTGGCTCGTCATCATATCAGCGCAGGAGCTCAAACACAACACCTTAAGAGACCTTGTCATTTCGAACTCTTCTTGCTGCAAGAGTCCTGATTTGCTGCATACGGGCGGATCGAGGGGACTCGTAGTTCACCTGTGGCTACTACAAAGCTGATTTCTCCGTTGCGTCAACGTGCAACCATGCACCAATAATACCAATATCTGCCTTCTCCATGACGGACTTAAGCCTGTCGCCGATCACGTATCCTGAGCCGCTCGTCTAAGTAAACAAAGTCTGTCCTGACAAGCCATGTCATGCGAAACTGCCTCCTGACCCCTCTTGCTGCAGCAGAGTTACTGAATTGGGGCAAGTTCTCGATCAAGTTACTCAATGCCTTGGGCGCATCTCGCGTTCGCAGAAGAGTTGTGTAACGCCATAGGCAAGGAGCCTTGCCTTTCGTAACTGCAAATGATTGATGGGAGTGCGGTACAAATTCATCTCACACTGCGGTGCGACACACGCTTTGCTTCCACATCATGTTTTTTTGCCGACACTCCGCTCATGCAAGCCAACCGAGTCAACCGGCTTTCAAAACTTCAAGGCCCAAGCAAACACGCACCCTTCCTCGAAGCCACAGGCGATCTAGGAATCTAGGAGCCTGGCCCGTGCCATCTTGGGGTCAGACAGGAAAGCCGCCGCGAGTTCCTCCGACACTACCAGACTCAGAGCTGCAGCACTCGGCGAGGAGGACTTGGTTGTCCGACATTTAAGGATTGTTTGCCTGCCCCCTCTCTGCGGATCGTGTCGCCGGGCAGTGAAAACAAGAGAGATACAGTTGTCAATTCAACATGCGGCAAGATCCACGACTAAGTCCATGACACGTCAGGTTCAAGAGAAAGCTTCATCTCCAGACTCCAGTCGGCAAGATGCCGTTTACACAATCCCTCGTTTCAGACGACCAACAGGTCAGTAGGACACAGCTTAGGTTGCAAGCCAGTGCAGGCGTTCACTCGAGTGTGCGGGATGGGCATATCACGCGAACGTTTTGCAGAGGTGCAAGCGGCAAGCAAGCACGGCATCACATCGAAGCGACTCCAAACGAGCTTGGACGAGGGTGTGCAGAATTGTCTGGCAGCTTCCAGCTTCGCGGGCAAAGACCACCACGCCTCTAATCCCATTGATTCACCGCTATGGGAACCAATCGACGTACAGGCACACAAGCAGGCATGAAAGTAGCAGCATGATGCAGTCCCTGCCAGCCACAGTCACCCGCCCAGCAAGCATTCAGGGCTTGGGCAGGGAAGTTGGACCACGCCTCCCGAATGTCGGAGAAAGTAATCCAAGCACTGCCAAGCAGTCGGATGCAGCGGCAGGCTCTGTCTTGGCCAACTGCATCGCCAAGCTGACATGAATTATATGCATGAGGCGACCTGCATGAAGTTCCGGTGCTAGACTGCCTTCTCGCAACAGTGATGCCACACATCGAAGGGATATAAGATGACAGAGAGGAAGGAACTCGGGAAGGAACAAGGGAAATAGAGCGCACATATCGCACAACAGAACACTTCACTACGTTTTGCAAGATTCGAAAACGAAGGCAACCATGAGTTCACATCGCCTGCAGGCCACTAAACTGCAGAGGTGCGATTGCTGAGAGCACTCACAATACACGGAAACACAGCAAAACCATAGTTTACACTGTTTCCAGCATTTGGAAGAACATAAACCTGGCAGGACTCGCAGTTTTGCCATAGGCAGAAACAACGACGAAAATGCTTTGTACCCCAGCACCGGAGTACATTATCTTGTAGCGGCGAAAAACTTGAGAGCACAGAATTTGAATTATAGCCTTTCCGAAGCACACAGGTTATGGCAAGTAACAACATGAAGACTCTTCGTGCATAGCCGCATTGGGGTCTATAGCGCAGTCGGCATGCAAAGAAGAAATCTTGGGTGGTTAGGGCATCGTCCAAGCAGCATGTTTGTGAAGCGATCCCGCCATATGCAGATATATGCAGCTTGCTCAGACTTTCTCCCTGAAGTTGCTGAGTCGCTCTCACCGCCCACAACCCCTTGCGCCTTGACTCCGGTACCAAAATGTATCGTCCCGGCATGATACTTGCAAAGCTGTAGGCTGCATTAACCGAGCTACATGTATCGACCGGCATGATACTGGCAAATGGGAAGCTGCGTCACCCCTTAACCATCTGCCGCTTTAATCAGGAATTGAATCCACAATCTTTCGCGCCAACCCGACAAAATAGAGCATCCGCGGCGCCCCACCAGACACACCCTCAACTCTCATTCCTCCTGACTTCGAGAACCTCTGCGCATAGACAGCTCGGTACGACAGAAGGAGAGGTACATCTTGTGAATCTTGTGTGATCTCATGCATGCCTCCAAGGTGAAGGTTTTGTTCAGGATGCCGGGAATCCTGCACTGAAGCTTTGCGGCAGCTTTGTTGCAAACACGGCGGAGTTGCAAAAGCATCTTCACCCTTCGACTGCGGCCTTGTGGGCATGGTGTGTACAGTGACGTCCAATGATGACCACACCTTGAGGGGGCCATTCGCCTTGGCGCATGCCCCCATGCTCGAAAAGAATGAGAAGATCGCTGAAAGCATTTCTGCACTCGCCCGCCAGAGCGATCCCTGGAGGCGGGTCGCTTCTGTCATATTCCCGAGCAGCTTCATGCTCCCGGTCAACCAGTGATCCTGGCAAAATCGATCTTTCGTGGAAGGGAAGCTGAGAACTCACGTATACTCACGTCATGCCTCCCGCGGCAGGAACTGCAGTGAGGCCAGGAGCTGGATGGGAATGGTCGTTTCCTTGTGTGCGCTACCGTGGTTCAGAACGACGGAAGGCTGGATGCTCGATATTGTTGAGGGCACTACCGCTTAAGCCGAAGTCAGTAGAACGAAAGCCCAGACGGCAGAATGCCCCGAGAACGCATGCTCGAATCAAGTCAGCTGTCCTTGGGAACTCAATAGATGCTACGATGAATGGCCGCTTCGTGTGCGCTCTTCGAGCTGGCTTGTGGATCTTGCAGCTTGCAGGCTCCCCGCACGACCTTGTGATTTGAAGCCTTTTGTCTGGTTGGCAAATTCTGCCTCGACCCCAAGCCAGATACGACCCAAGGTTGAAGTACGGGCACCAACACTGAACCGGTCTTGCACGTCCCTTTCAAGCTGTCTGAATGGGGCGTGGCACAACCAATTCGAAAAGCTGCTTCTTGATCTCGTCCTCTATTGGACCTGGGCTTGGAAAGCTTTTGGCATTTGGAAACTGCATCTTATCTTGCATGTAGGCGTGTCAAGACGAACACGCACGTGAACGAACACACACACACACACACACTTACTTTATGACACAGCTTAAGTGTCAAATTGAAGTTGCCGACTGCAAAAGGTTGAAGGCAACGAAGCACTCAAAAGAAAATATCAAAATGCAGACCTGACCAACAGCACCAAGAATCTTGGAAGCCAACTGAGCGTGAATGCCAGGACTTTTTTGTTTTGGAAGCCGAAATTGAAGTATCGCACCTGATGCGCCACTGCTGCTGGGCTCTGCACTGGGGCTGGTAAGGTGTCGCAAGGATTGCACGATTTAAGAAGGGCCCTATCAACCTCGCTAAGTCATCTCAACAACTCTAATTCAAGGTTTGGAGATGTTGATCTGCATGAGGCTAGAAGAGCGAGCACGCGATATCAGTAGCGAGCAGTCTCTCTTTTTTCGCAACTTCGAAGTCTCTACCTGCAACAAGACTAGTGACCAGCTGAGTTGGACCCAAATGCCCGCGCCTCCTTCGTGACGATCTCCGCTTCCCAGCGACCTTTGCGCTTCTTTGCACGTATCGTCCCAGCGAGGTCAAAAAGGACGGTGGCCTGCCTGATGAGGACAAGCAGTGAAGGCCACCGCGGCAGGTTTAACCATGAGATAGAAGACAAAACCCAAGTTAGTCTTACAAAAAGCCACATGCTTTGGCATTGTGTTTCAAGGCTAAGCAGTAAGCAGAGGCACTGCTCCTCTGGGTCATCGCAGTCCGATGATGCGAGGCTAATAGCCAAACTTGTAGCACAACTGATCACTGTGCTCTCAGTCAGGAGCTGCAACTCTCTGATCCTCATGTCTGCACTGCCAAGTCCAGCATGCTTGGCAGTAGAGTTGCTTCCCACAAGCTCGAAGGCCAGAGCATCTGTACCAGTTCGACTAATTTTTAACTCGGCCTGAATTCGGCTGATGCGGAACTTGTCAGCAAAAAGGTAAACGTCGCTCTCCGTGTCGTCGTCGTTGACACCTAGGACCTGTCGCAAAATGTAGCGGCTCGCGAAATCCGCTTCCCCGACGAGGTCCAAGTTGTCTTGCCGAAGGCACTCCAGGCGATCTTCATCTTTGGGAACCTCCTCGGGATCTGAGCCTTCAGATTCCAGTATCCCTCGAACGCTGCAAACTATCCATGGCAGGAGGGCTGCCAGAAGAGCGCAGCCAGAACTTGTGACCATCACATAGAGGGGTTAGCAAACCAAGCGAAAGTGTGGGACTGTCCCCAAAGCCAATGGCTGCGTCCACTCTCCACGTCTGCAGACCACGCACGGCACATAATTTCGCTTTGCGAGCTCGAGCTACCCGTCACAAATTTTAGTGGGGTAGTAGTGGTGCAGTGTGGCAGGTTCAGCAGGTGGGGTAATTCGGTTGTGGGGTAGTGGGGAAGTGGGGAATTGGGGCAGTGGGGCAATGGAGCAGTGTGGCAGTGGGGTAGTGGGAGGGGGGTGGTCACAGCAGCAGCAGTAGCAACAGCACTAGGACTAGCCTAGCAGTAGCACTAGCAGGAATGGCAGTGGCAGCAGTTGCAGTGGCTGTGGCTGTTGGCTGTTGGCTGTTGGCTGTTGGCTGTTGGCTGTTGGCTTGTTGGCTGTTGGCTGTTGGCTGTTGGCTTGTTGGCTGTTGGCTGTTGGCTGTTGGCTGTTGTTGGCAGTTGACACCTGGCAGCTAGCAGTTAGCAGCTAGCAGTTAGCCGTTAGCAGTAGCAGCAGCAGCAGTCGTAGAATTCATGGTGGTCGCAGCAGCACGAGCAGTAACTTCCTAGAAGCCCTCTCAGGTGTCAATTCCTGGTTATAGCCTCGGGCAGCCTGGAGTCATGTCAATGTGGAATAGTTGGTGCACCCCAGTACCTTACACCCAGGTTAGGAATCGGGTCTTCAGTCCGATTCTTCCCCGGCTCGCTGCCCACTTGAGAGCCGAAGGTCAAACGACTCCCGGAGGCGAAGTAGAAGAAATCACGAGGGAAAGAAGGGCATGTGCTTTCGGCTTTCGAGCAGAACATGGAGAAAGGCCGGCAGCAGGAAGATCAAGAAGATTGCTACACCGGCGGAGGTGAATAACCTAAACCAGCGCAAAAAGGCCGTGAACCGACCCCGCGAACCCACCCCGCTTCGGCCAAGGTGCACCACAAAGGGTGGCTGGCGGAGCATTTCTGCATGCACTGTCGGCGGGTCCATCAGGCAAGGGAACTACAGCAGCACGCACGGCTCTGCGGCTCCGTGGAAGACACAGGAGCACTGCCGAAACGCAAATGAATGACATGCCTGAGCTGAGGCAGTCCAGTAAGCGAACTCCTATGAAACAGGTTTTCCGATATGTTCATCAGCTGCTTTGCAGCCTACTGCTGCAGCAACAGTTGCTCGCATGAGCAACGCTTCGTTCATGCAACAGCAGCAGCTGCACAAGCAATCTTATATACATGCTGTGGCGGAAACTGCATCTTCGTCATCAGAGACCTAGATTGCCAAAATCGTTTCCGCCACGTGATCGAAAGGTGTTCGGCACGTAGGGCAAGAGGCTTCCTTTGCGGACCTCAAGACCCAGCGAGCGATGCACTCCTCGTGGTAGGCATGACCGCAGGGAAGGACAGCCACGTCGGTGTCTATGTCAAAGTCTTCCAAGCAGCAAGCACAAGACTTCTGGCTAGAGATGCTCCCTGACAGCGTGCGGCTGACTGTTGTCAGAGCGGTCCATGTGACGTTGCTTGCGTTCGCGGGGTCGCTCAGGTCGGTCTTGACGGAAACGAGGTTGAAGACCAGGCCGGCGGAAGTCGGCGTGTCCAGCTCTCCGAAGCTGCAACCCGCCCACACACAATGGCACTCCTTCTCCATCTCTGTGTCATTCACAGCGCCACCCTCTGCCCTTGCAGTTTTCGTGAACACGACGACGAACAACAGCAGAAACAGAAGCACCGACATTGACGCACATACCGCCATCGGCCAATACGCATCCTTCACAACTCCCACGAGCATGCTGATCACTGACAGCATGACGAGGACGAGCGCCCACACTATGAGCTTGGAGTTGCTGCATTGCACCGACGCAGCCATCTGAAGGTACGGCCGAGAGCCCTACTAGTCACTAGTCCTATTTCCCAGATCACCCATGAAGGCTGCAAGTCAGCCGGCCCAGTACAAGTTGTCTATTAACCCGGGATAGTGCGGGCATGCCAACGGTTTCAGCATCGATCACAGGTTCCAGCAAGCCTGGGGCCGCTTGAAAATGGACGTTGGGATGGAAACCCTTGCTTTTTGTTGCCGGATGTTGCCGGATCTCACCCCCTTGAGCCCAAAGGTGAACTGTATGTGGCACATTCCTGAGCTGCGTACACGACGACAATGCCACATGCTCGGAAAACTGCGGCGGTCAGCAACTTGCGACTTGCTGACATTGCTTAACTGAAACAACACTACGTCCAATACGAACCAGGCGTTCTTGGAATGGCCCATGTTCTGAAGGTTTCAAGTCCTGCGGGCGATCATGAGAAACGCTGGGCATGCAATGGCATCGTGCCCTAGCTGGACATCACCCAGAAAGCCTTCCTTTTCACAGCTGCAGCCCACTCGTCCGCTAGGGTCGCACACAATCTCCCAGACTCATCGCTCCGTCTCCAGCTCCGCGACCACTTTAACGTCCCATGTCCCGAACGAAACTTCGCTCGACAGCATCGTGAGACTGGGAGTTTCAGTCATACTCGAGCTGAAGTCCATCTGAAAACCAACCGAAGATCTCCAGCTGCCCACCTGCAGGCCGTTACAAGCCGAGACTAGGACTAGGCCCGAGAGGTCACAAGACTCGTGGCAAAGGCAAGGTGAACTTTCTCCAGTCGCATGCGGAAAATTGGAGTCAGGGTGACACGACTGCGTTGAGGTTGTTTCCTGATCCCCGGCCAATGCTCAGCATGCAGAATGCAGACTGTGTGCAAACAAAGAAGTCCTTCGACGATTTTGGCAGGATCGATTCTGGAAGGATCTGTTGGAGAACAACTCCGCAGGATCTGAGGGCTTCGAGCAAAGCCCAACAAAACTTCGGCGCGAGTGACTAACTCATCTCAGTTGCTGATCGCGGAAGATGCGGCTGGAATGTTGCTATTGGTCCTCCTGCGAGCTTGAGACGGGCAAAGCAGATGAGGGACTGTGGAATTCTGACGTTTGACATACTGCGTTGCTCTGTTTGGGCGAGGAGCAGCGAAAACGATCTAGTGAGTCAATCCAGGATTAAAAGTTTCTGGTACTACTGTGCCGAGCAAACACACGCAGATGTAGGTGGGACAGCTTCTCCCTGCTGACGTTTGCATTGGCCACCATATGGCAGCATAACCGTTGACAAGATATGCTCGGGTCAGGCATACTACTCGGCAGGGATCACCGTTCCATTCAGACTTGGCCTGCATGGATTCGTCCACCATGATCTGCGGGTTCAGCGGGTTGTACGTTGGGTACACACGCGGATACAACCTCAATCCAGGAGCGAAGTAAGAAACCGAGTGCAAAGATGCTTTATGAAAGTGAATCCAAGGAGCGTGTTCAAGTAGATCTCCCAGAGGATGAGAAGGACGGAAATGCCCAGCGTAATTGTTGTGACAAGCTGCCCAAGGAAAGTGTCCATGAACGCCCCTTCCTCCATGGCTTGCTTGTCCTCAAGGCCGCTTCTGTTAGATGATTCAGTACGGTAGGTACAACATCGCCCAAAAACAAGCTTTGCTGTGTGCGATCTGGCATCCTTCTCGCGGATGAAATCCCAGACACTGTTCTCCGATGCCCCCTCTCGTGACTTACCCAACTTTCTCACCTTCACCTTCCAGCAGGTCATTGCAGCACCAACGAAGCCTTGATGACCAAAAACACCGCCCTGGCCTTGGGAACCCTGGTGGCTTTGAGCTTGGGCTGCTTCCGCACCCTTTTCCGTACAGTGCCCTCGGACCCAAAGGCGACATGGGATGCCATCTCTGCTGCAACTGTCCATGGCATGGCAAACTTGCACAAGTTCACTACTTCCGAAACACTTTGCTGGTCCAAAGTAATTACATGCCCAGTTTCTGGAGCGCTGGTCTGCGTCACGCCTCGTGCAGCCGGTCAACAGCACGTCATCTATCTGGTGAATGGGACCTGCCTGTCTCACCCTGGGCAGCACCCATGGCAACTTTGAACTTGGACGGTGCAGTTGGAGGCTGAATCAGCCTGCACAAGGCGGCATGCTTGCTTAACAAGACATGACCCGGCAGAGGGGTCTTCAAAAGTTGGGAAGCAGCGTGGGCCCGTGGTGAAACAACTCAATACACTGAAGCATGCCCCTGGCGCCCCTTGGCAGAACTGCAGCCGCGCTGCCCGACAAACCCCAATTGCCATATGCCAGCTGCAGCAATGGCATAGACGGCGGCCACGAGCAACCGCATCGATAACAAAGCCGGGAGTCTGCCGGCAGCACGAACCAATCAAACACAATGACAATCAAGGAGCAGTTGGGCGGTGTGGTGAAAGAAAATGCTGCTTTGCTGGACACAAGTGCTTCCATGCTGGAATCCGTTCGAGCCGAGACCTCATGGCAAGGAATAAGGAAAGCATAACGGGCATGCTTCTTGAGACTGCGCACATGCATTTGACAAGAACATGCCACACTAAGATAAGCCCACCTGTACCAACACGATTGACGAGGTCGATGAGCTTTATGCTGTCCAGTTCAATTTCAAGCCCTGCTCCATGTTCACCCTGCCGGCGAGAAAATCAGCGAACTCAAGATATGAAAAATCGTATGTTTCGTCAGTACGACATTTCACCATTCCTTGCTGCGCTCCAACAACAATAAGGTCTCGACACCAAACTCCCTTCGAACTTTAAACCCGAAATCCGAAAACTCCAAACAAAACCCCTATCCGCTAGACCCTTTTGCAGTCCTCTTGTAGTCTTGCCGGGGAAAGGCCCCTAGACCCTAAAGCCCCCAACCCCTCAACGCTAAACCCAGAGCATTGAATCCCTTTTCCACTCAACCCGGTAACGATCCTAAACTTTGGAAGCCACCTTTTGCCTTAAAGTGCCTTGTGTGTCGTGCATGTAAAGATCTGGGGTTTAGGGTCTTCCTGCAAGTGGGACTAGATTGTTGGTTTGGATAATCTGTTAGTACTTTTGCTTGCTGGCATTAACCATCTTTGCACACACTAGACATGTTGCCATTCCATCCTAGTACCAATGTTGCAGCGCATGCACGCTCGTTCGACACACCGCCTGGCGACAACGGAAGCGGCATCTGCCAGCAGTTGGTTTCGTTCGTCATACCTCGGGAAGGATTTGCCAGCCCAAGCATGCAATAACAGTCTACTGCCACACGCATTCCAAGAGTCGAAAGCTCACGTTTCAGCAACCATGTTTGCAACAACATCATGGCCACCACCTGAGTGAATTAAACTACGGATTCACACGCGCCGGGAAATCAAAGCGAAACCCAGGTCCACACGATTGCACTGAGAATGGCGATGTGCCAAAAGCTCGGACGTGGCAGCCACACCTTCGGCATTCGCAGCTACAAGCAGCTACATCCAGCATGGTTGCAAAAAACATTGCCTCGACCTCCGACTCGTCCCTTCTGAAATGTGATCCTGATCAATTGCCCACTTGTACACGCAGCATCATGCTCTGCATCAACCCCGGCTTCCGACATTCAACCGCCGCTTGCATCTCATGCGGGCTTGACACGCCGTTCCGTCTGCAACAATGTGGGCTTGCGGGACGACATAGCAGAGGCACATGCAAGAAAAGGCAGCCGACTTTGCCGGCAGGCCAAACAAACCTATCAATTAAGCATTTTTGTGCCCCAGGCCGAAGCTTGCCCTTTGCACCTTTGCATATGTGGCGTACATGTAACAGATGTGAAGCAATCGATTACGCTGACATGGAACTCACCTGTCGAATCTGCGGTGGCAAATCGTTCGAAAGCAATTGCGATTCTGAAACTGCATGAGCCTATGTGTCTACCATAAATGCAACATGAGCGGGTTTGTTGTATTTGACATGAACCGATTCCACGTGCAGGAGTGCGCATTTGGGGCGGTGCGAGCATGCTGGCAGCGTCAGCTCGGACATGGAGCTATTCGCCAGCATGGGCTCTTAACTGTGAGCACAGCAGCGCACGGGCATCGGCGCGGAGGCTGGACAGGGGGCACTTGTGATTGCACGTGTTACGTATACGCGAGCTGCCGGTCTCTAAACCCCGCTGGGGGCGGCGTGCACCCTGCAAAAGCGTCGGCCAATCGGGGTGCGAGGTCCAACCTACCACACTGCCGCCGCGTCGGCAGCCTAGCAGACTGGGTAGAAGAGAGAAGGAGCACATTATAGATTTACTACTAATACTTTTTGCCCCGTGCATGGCTGAATGATTCACGAAAGGAGTACTATTTGTTTTTTCTTGGCTATACCGTCTGACGCAGTCGCACCTGGTCATTATGTACTACCGTGCAGCCATCACGCCGCCCGGGCGAGTCTCACAATAGCGGGGAAACGGCTGATAGGCTCTGCCTGGGCGTCTTCCAGCAAATCACCCAGAGGTGGCTCCGTGCCGTTGCAGTCGTCCGCTTCCGCTAACGGCAACTCAAGCAGCGAGTAGGCCCACTCGCAGGCACGAGCCTTGGCCAACTGCCGAAGGAAGGCAGCGGCCTCGTGGCAGAACGTGTCGCCAAACTCAAAGCCAAGCACTACTAGTTTGGCGGCGGCTGAAAGCTCCGGGTGCTGCGTTTCGCTGCCTGCTCAAGCGCCGTGCCTGCGATCCACATTCGGTTGCGCATCGCCGGTCCGCGTGACGGTGAACACCAGTGGTGTGGATTGAAGCGGCGGCCGTCGGTCAAGGGCACGTTAACATTCGTGTCCTTTAGGGGCACGTTTGATGCCCTGCTTCGCGGCACACCCATGCAGCAGCTCTATCCAGAACCGCTCAGCGCATTCCGACAACACCGGCAGTCTGGCAGGCTGCACCGTCGTCGCCAAGGGCAGCTAGCGCGCCTCCACAACGACACCGACGAGCAATCCCCCCAACAACTGTAACCACACTCTTTTCTTCATTT